ACAAAAAAACCCTGCATAGTCAAAGCAATCCTGAGAAGGAAGAATACAGCAGCGGGTATCTCGCTTCCCAACTTCAAGCTCTGCTACAAAGCCACAGTAATCAAGACAGTTTGTTACTGACACAAGAACAGACCCATAGACCAGTGGAATCGAATAGAGTCCAGATATTAACCCAAGCATATTTGGTCAATTAATATATGATAAAGGAGCCATGGACATACAGTGGGGGAATGACAGCCTCTTCAACAGCTCGTGTTGGCAAAACTGGACAGCTCCGTATAAGAATGAAACTGGATTATTGTCTAACCCCATACACAAAAGTAAACTCAAAATATATCAAAGACCTGAATGTAAGTCATGAAATCATAAAACTTTTAAAAGAAAACATAGGCAAAATTCTCTTGAATATAAACATGAGCAAATTCTTCATGAACATATCTCCCTGGGCAAGGGAAACCAAAGCATAAATGAACAAGTGGGACTATATCAAACTAAAAAGCTTCTGTACAGCAATGAACACCATCAGTAGAACAAAAAGGCCTCCTACAGTATGGGGGAATATATTCATAAATATCATATCCGATAAGGGGTTGACATCCAAATTATATAAAGAGCTCATGCACCTTAGCAAACAAAAAGCAAATAATCCAATTTAAAAATAGAGCATCTGAACAGACAGTTCTCCAAAGAAGAATTCCACATGGCCAACAAACACATGAAAAGATGCTTCACATTGCTAATTATGAGGGAAATGTCAATTAAAACCACAGTGATATCACATCACACCAGTTATGATGGCCAACATAGAAAAGACTAGGAACAACAAATGCTGGCAAGGATGTGGAGAAAGGAGAACCCTCCTACCCTGCTGGTGGGAATGTAAGCTAGTTCAACCATTGTGGAAAGCAGTATGGAGGTTGCTCATAAAACTAAAAATCGAAATACCATTTGACCAGGGAATTCCACTCCTAGGAATTTACCCAAATAATTTAATTTCTCAGATTCAAAGAGACACATGTACCCCCTTGTGTATTGCAGCACTATTTACAATAGCCAAGATATGGATGCAACCTAAGTGGCCATCAGTAGATGAATGAATAAAGAAGATATGGTACATATACACAATGGAATACTATTCAGCCATCAGAAAGAAACAAATCCACGTTTGCAACAACGTGGATGGAGCTGGTGCATATTATTACGCTCAGTGAAATAAGCCGGGTGGAGAAAGACAAGTACCAAATGATTTCACTCATTTTTGGAGTATAACAAGGAAGCAAAACTGAAGGGACAAAACACCAACAGACTCACAGACTCCAAGAAGTTACTAGCGGTTACTAAAGGGGAGGGGTGGGGGTGGATTGGTGGCGGGGTAGGGGGAAGGGTGAAGGGGATTGAGAGGTATTATGATTGGCACACATGGTGTTAGGGGGATCATGGGGAAGACAGTGTAGCACAGAGAAGGCAAATAGTGACTCTGTGGCATCTTACTACACTGATGGGCAGTGACTGCAGTGGGGTCTTGGGGGACACAATAATATGGGTGAATGCAATAATCACATTTTTTCATGTGAAACCTTCATAAGAGTGTATGTCAGTAATACCTTAATAAAATAAATAAATTAAAAAAGTGGAAGTTATCTGGTTGGGTGTTTTGAAATTTTAAAACCTTTGGATATTAACATGAATTTTGATAATTTAGATAATTTTCTTCTGATTATGTAACTTTGAAAGTTTTAGTATATCTAACTCTTTAGGTTTTCTGAAAGTATAGTTGAATGTATGCAGAACTGTTTATTATAATGGTTTAACTTAAAGCACAAATGCAAGGAGTCAAGTTCTACACTATTATCAATTTCTTCAGGATTAAAGTAAGACTTCTTCATATGGCAGCATATAATGTATGCATTTCACTGAATGTATTTGAAAGCCATGAGTATTGTAGAGTAGAAATAAAAGGAATGACTTAATTATACTTTCTATGCTTCTAAGTCTCTAGGAATCATGGGGTTTATAGAAAACTTTTGGAATAAATGTCCTTTCCAATGTCAAGTAGTGTCTCGGTTTACTGTAAAGCAGATAATTAGTGTTTGTCACCTTTTAAGACTCACAATGTTCCAGGCACTGTGTAAGTAAGTGTCTTACATACAGTGGTTTTTAATTCTTCTAACTATCCTATTATATAAAGGTAGAAACCAGTATTTGCAGCTTGTAACCTTTCTTCAAGTTACTCAGTTGTAGAGGATGTTGAACTGGGATTCAAACCCATTCTGCTTGAAGTTGAAGCCCTCTTGCTAATAGGATATGGGTGAAACAAAGTGGGATTGTGAAATGAAACATAAAGTTGACTTTAAGATCCCCTCATATCATATAATTCTACTCCAATAGTTCCACTTTTTTTGAATATTTACTATAGTGTGTGGGATGGCCCAGTATGGAGTGTGTGCCTGACTCAAATAACACCTATTGGTCTACTATCTCTTACTGAGTTTTCTTCATTCAGCCAGTTAATTATGTAGATGACACACAGAGCTTTTAGTTTATGTATTCCCTTGATTCCAAGTGTAATGAGATGAATTCACATTGAATTAAAATACCCAAATTTTCTGATCTGATAACCAGTGTAGATCAAAGATACTAGTGGTACAAAATATTTTCCAACTCTGGATATTGACAGTTTTTTTTGTGTGGGGTGGTGTTTTTGAAATAAGCATTCAGAAAATCCTTAACTTGATTTTTTTCATTCTTAATTTTACTTCAATTGGAAATGTATTCTGTCTTAGTACTAATTATATATTTTACATTTGCTCTTGAATTGTCGTTTTCCTACATTATAATATTATTGTTAAATACAGGTAAAAGAATTCATTGGTACAGCTGGTCAACCAGACAGCTGCCATAAACAGGTTTTTCTGCTCTCTCTAGATTAAAAATCATGGAAGGTCATCCTGATTGTCCTGTTTTAGGTCATAAGGCTTCCCTTGTACCATTCTCTGTGGAACAATATAATGTGATTGTCCCAATTATGATTGTATGCTTATCCTAATGTCAGGGTATCTTCTGATACCAGAAAACAGAGAGTAGGGTAACCACCCTTACCCTTTTATTATACTGTGTGGCTATTTTTTGTCAGCATTTTGGAGTTTTGCCCAAGTAATAATTGACAATTAGCTCACTGACTCCAGTGAATAATCTGAAAATTATAGAGTGGCAGGGCCTTGTCTTCTCTCCATTAATGCTAGAGACTACATTATTCTTCCTCAGGTGTAAAGAAGAAGTGGAGAAATGTGCTAATACTGTGTGTGTGTGTGTATATATGTGTAATAAAGAATTGCCAATATTAAATGATAAAGCCTCAAAGTAATACATTTATTGTCTTATTTATCTTAAACATTATTTCTTAGCCTTAGATGAGGGATGCTAATATCACTTTAAATATCCATCTTTTTTAAAGTAAGCATCTTTGTGGCTTATCCAACTAGTCACTGTTCAGTCCCAAACCTGAATTCTCACCTAATAGCTAAGAACACTGCACATCTCCCAAAATGACATGCTTTGCTTTGTACTACTTTAAGTCACATGGTAACTGTTTTGTGCGCATGGTAGTTTTGTTGTACCTTTTTTTTTTCAACACCTGAATGATAGCCATCTGCTAGCAGTTTTTATATTTTGAGGATTTTTTTTCTTTTGTTTACTCATTTGACTGTGTTATAGTTGTGAACACTATATAGTTTTTTCAACACCTGAATGATAGCCATCTGCTAGCAGTTTTTATATTTTGAGGATTTTTTTTCTTTTGTTTACTCATTTGACTGTGTTATAGTTGTGAACACTTGTTTTTTATGTATTCATCTATAGGTATTTATTGAGTACTTGCTGTATGTATATACAAACATATACAACATATCTTTTATAAAATAAATTCTTATTTTCTATTGTGTTATTCAAGGCACTGGATATTTCCAACAGAGAGGTGATTTTCTTGCAGGCAAGCAAGGAGATAACTTGCTGGTAGTGTTCACAGGAGGGTTTCTTTTTTGTATGTACTTTTGCATCAGAATTTTTATATCAAAATATCCTTATTTGATATTAAGTTAATACCTCTGTAGGTTTATAATCATATACACATTAGATATAAATGCAGTATTTATACAATGTGGGAAAAGCTACATAAAAAGTTTAAATTAGAGTTTTGTAGGAAAGTTGGTGCTTGGTTAGATGGTTTCTTTTTGTTAGTAAACACATTTTTATACATATATAGACATTATATAAATTAATTTTATAAAACTACAAAATATACCTAAGGAAAAATAAAACAAAAATAACTTGTAACGGCAAAAATAAATCACTTATAAAATTTTTGATATTATTTTTCCAATATTTTTGCAGATATATATCCATATATGTTTATATATATTTATATATTCTATCTCCTTCTACAGTATGGACTATGCTTTATATTTTGATTTGAATATTATTCATGATACTCTCGAACATTTAGGTTGTTTCAGTTTTTTCTTCATTATAAACAATCTTTCAGTGAATATCCTTTTTTTTTTACCTACGAGCATGTTTATGATCCGTTTGCATAAATTTCTAGAAATGGAAGTTCTTGATTTAGGGGCATATAGAATGTTCAGGAACATATAAATATAAACAATGACCAATTAAATATCGCTAATATAACAGGTTGATCTGATTAGTAATGACTAACTCAAACCTCACAATTGGATTTTAGCTAATTAAAAAATCTGTTTTTTAAATGAGACAAATACTTTGATTAATCCTTAGCAGTTCTCTAAAAATGTTAATACTTTCTCTATCTTCCCACCTCCAACTTAGAAATGTCCTATGTAGATGCCATATGAATAGTAATTTCTTATAATGATAAACGTAGATAATCTGAAGACAATCAGATTTTGTGAACTGAAATTTAAGGACTATGTTTTCCAAAAACATAAATTTAGAAAAAACAGTATAACATCTATTATTCTTTCCAGGTTGATCAGTTGATGTTTGCTCTGCATTTTGTTCGAGGCATGCATCCTGAACTTTTTCAAGAAAATGTAAGTGGAAGTAAAGGAGGAAAATATGAAGAGTTACATAGAAATTTGGTAATGGGTGGATTTATGATTAGATTATAAATGCCTTTAGAAATGATATGACAATTATTAAATTTTACTGTTAGACATTTAGGGTAGGGGGCTGATTTCCATTCCTACTCTCCTCTGGGTAAGCCTGTTATTCTGAAGTGATGGTAAGAAAGAGAAAGAAGTCTAACTTGCTGTGCTGCCTAGATTTTTCTGAACCCAAGTCCACTTATCCAGGACACCTTTTTATTTTCCTGGTCGAAGTAGTGGAACTGATAAATACAAAAAGGGAAATAGTATGGGTATACAACTATATTACTTATTACCTCCACTGACTTGATCAGAGTCAGCAGGTGAAGCAGGAGAGTAGTTCTCAAAAGCTTCCCTGAGCAGGTCTATGTTAATCTTTCTATGTACAATTTATCTTCTTTATGACTTCTTTTTTGGTCTGCCATATATATATAACCCCCCTCTCAAAGTTGAAAAGGGCTTCCTTCAAGCTAAAGTTAGCTAATCCACCTTTGGTGTGCTTCTAATAGTAAAAATACATATGTCTGTAAGTGATTTTTCTCATAATTATGCCATCATCATTAAGTGAGAGTCCAGTAGCCAGAGTGGGAGAGAGTAGTATGTGGAGTGTGCAACTTTGATCTAGTAACCTTTAAGTCCATTTGGTCAGATTTAAATTGTATTTCAGGTACTCTTCATTGAATAGTTAAAATAATTCTACATACCTGTGTTCTTTCTTTGTTTCTGCCTAATTCCACATGCTGTGGCCAACATGTTTAGTTTTTTCTCAGTTTATTCACCTAACTCCTTTACCAGTACTAGTAACTGTGATGCCTGTACCTTCTATAAAATGCTTTTCACCATGATCAATATGTTCTGCATAAGACTTAAATTCCCAGTTTTCCCCTCCTGGAATATATAAATGAACTAGCATTGGCAAAGGAGAGCATTTTTCCCTGATTGCTTTATAGTAACAGTAATCATTCCTATTTATTTGTGACTGTAATTTCAGTGAGAAGTGAATGATCAGGGTGAGTAGAAGCAGGAAGTATATTGCTTTGGTAATTTTTTCACATTGCTCTCAAATCTTAATATATCTTGCTTTATTTGCTAACCAGTGTGTAACAAATAATATGGTAGCACCCATTATTATCTGATGGGGGAATCCAGGGTGAAGAAAGAGTTTCTTGGGGTACTAGATTCCATAACACTTGATCAATCTTTAATGGATCAATAAAAAAAGGAATAATGTTAGTCTTCTCCCAATCTGCTGGGAAAGATAAGTTAATGGAAGCACTTTTTTCTATTTTTTCCCAACATACACAAATTTTAAAATTTGGTATACCTTTTTGCTTATATTTTAGTGAGGAATAGCACAGAAAAAGACAAAAAGTAATGACAAATGCTAATTGAACATGACCATTAAGATTTTCTATGTTGAGAAATACATATATATGCATATATAGAGTTAAATGTAGTTAATTTTTTGCTTTAATAAAATTATTCCTAGTATTAATGTTTTGTGTTAGTGCATGAAATCATTCTTATGTTAATGGTGTATAAGAAGTAGGAAGATGTGAAAGGAATTTTATATTTTTCATGTCCCTAGAAAGCTGCATTGTAAGTTATCTTATAGGGAAATTAAGAAAAATTTTTACTGGTTAGTATATATAACTTTTGTATTACTCCTATTTCTGTTCAATAGGAATGGGATACATTTACAGGTGTGGTTGTTGGAGACATGTTCCGGAAAGCTGTAAGAATAATAAAATTATTTCACTCTTATGGAAAATAGTTATAGCTTTGATTTTATGACTTCAAATTGTTTCAGGGGAGTTTTAAACTATTGTTGAAATTATACTTTAGTTAGAAGTATATGACCTTGCTTTTATTGCCCTACTATAAAATGGACCAATATATGTTTTTTAGTCCTTGAAGACAAATATTATTTTGAGAGTAACATTAATTAAATACTATGATATTAATAGTTTATTTTTTCTATATATATATATGTATATTTTGATTCTAAGAAAATCAAACTTTGTATTATAACTAGAAATTTTTCTATATGACAAGTTTAAAAACTACTTTTTAAAACTTTTGATAATTTCATTCAAATTTAACTTTTTATTTAATAATTTTTTATTGAACATGTAATGGGCAATATTCTTCAAAGCAACATAACCAAACTTTAATGTAAGACCTAGATTACATATGAAATATAGGATATAATATAAAATTATATATTTTTTAGGGAAGTTCCATATTACACTTGAGTTTTTCTGAAATTTCACAAAAGATTAAGCACAATGAAAATGACTGTAATATTTGTATAAATGGTTATGTACACCTTATATTTAATTCTATAATAGGGACTTGTAAAATATATAAAAATAAATAATACATGGAATTTTCTTCAAAATAATATTAATTAAATTAGCTCTCATTTGTTAAATTTTTTTGTGTAAATTTTGCCATGTATACCAAATAATTGTTCTTATTAAAGGAGAATTTGCACTTATTAAAGAAAATAATTGCTCATTTTAAAGGACTCTCAACAAAGAATACGTGATCAACTTCCATCTTGGATAGATCAAGAAAGAAGCTGGGCAGTGGCAACTTTAAAGGTATTCCTTTTCTATTTGAGGGATATTTTAAGCTTTTTCTGTATTTGAGTCATTTCTGTTTATATTTTTATGTGGTACTTATTCATACACAGTGTTGGTATTTCTGTGTGACATGAAATTTCCAGGTAAAAGAATATCAAATAATCATTCTGATTAGTCTTTTAATTAATAATTAGTTAAGTCTTCATTGAACATATGCATGTTGAGTCTATATTTGAAGCCGTTAGCAAATATAAAGATAAGAAAGAATACACAGTCTTTTTTGTAGAATAATTCAGGATCATAATGAGATGTAATACAGTACTTTGTTGAAAATAATTTGAAATTGAAGCTCTTTTTTTCATTTCCATCACCTTTTAGACAGCTCTCATGCTCAGCTCTTCTCTGTTCTTGCTGCCACTGCCCCAGGTCTGGCCCTCGTTACTTGAGCGGACCTCGCTGTAGAGCCCCCTGCTTCTGACCTTCCACCTCTCCATCTTATTATATCCTTCAGTTATGCTGTGGTTAGGGTCCTATTTAAAACTTTTAAATACTCTCAACAAACAAAATCTAGGACCAGATGACTTCATAGGTGAATTCTACCAAACAGTTAAAGAAGAGTTAATACCTTTTTTTCAAACTTCTGTAAAAAATTGAAAAGGAAAGAATGCTTCCAAACTCACTTTGAGGCCAGACCATGGAATGGCAGTAGACTGGTACCAAAACCAAGGATACCACAAAGGAAAAATTACAGACCATTATCCCTGATGAACATAGATCAAAAGTCCTCTACAAAGTATTAGCAAACCAAATTCAAAAATATAGTAAAAGGATTATTCACTACAGCCTAGTAGGGTTTCTTCAGGGATGCAAGGATGGTTCAATACACACATCAGTCAATCTGAAGTGCCACATTAACACGAGGAAGGACAAAGACCGTATGATTATCTCAGTAGATGCAGAAAAAGCATTTGGCAAAATTCAACATCCGTTCATTATATAAACAGTAAATGAGTGGGTATGGAGGGAACATGCCTCAATATAATGAACGCCATATGTGACAAACACACAGCTTACATCATACTCAAAGGTGAAAAGCTGAAAGATTTACCTCTAAGATCAGGAACAAAACAAGCATGTCCACTGTTACCACTTTTATTAAATAGTACTGGAAACCTAGCCATAGCAATCTGTTAAGAAAAGAAACAAAGGCATCTAAATTGGTAAAGAAGTTGAATTTTCATTCTTTGCAAATAACATGGTAGTGTGCATAGAAAACCCCAAAGATTCCACCAAAAACTGTTAGAACTAATACATGAATTCAGTAAAATTGCAGGATACTAAATCAATATTCAGAAGTCTTTTGCATTTCTTTTTACTAATAATAAACTACCAGAAAGAGAAATCAGGAAAACAATCCCATTTATAATTGTATCAAAAAGAATAAAATATCTAGACATAAATTTGACCAAGGAGGTGAAGGACCAGTACTCTGAAAACTATAAGATATTGAGCAAAGAAGCTGAAGGCAATATTGGAAAACTATTCCATGCTCACGGATTGAAAAAATTAATATTATTAAAGATGGCCATACTACCTAAAGTAATCTATAGATTCAGTATAATCCCTATCAAAATACCAATGGTTATTTTTCACAGAACTAGAGCAAATAATCCCAAAATTTGTATGGAATCACAAAAGAACCTGAATAGCCAAAGGAATCTTGAGAAAGAAGAGGTATCACAATCCCTGATTTCAACCTGTAATTCAAAGCTATAGAATCGAAACAGTATGGTACTGGTACAAAAATAAACCCATAGATCAATGGAACAGAATAGAGAACCTAGAAATAAACCAACACTTATATGATCAATTAATATATGACAGGTGGCAAGAGCATACAAAGGGCAAAAATGACAGTCTTTTCAATAAATGTTCTTGGAAAAACTGGACAGTGACATGCAAAAGAATGAAACTGGATCACTGCCTTACACTAAACACAAAAAGTAAACATAAAATGGATTTAAGACGTAAATATAAGATTGAAGCCAGAAAACTCTTTAAAATAAAGTAAACTCTTGAACGTTGGCATCAGCAATTTTTTTCTGGATATGTCTCCCCAGGTAGGGGAAACTAAAGAAAAAATAAACAAGACCATATCCAACTAACAAGCGTCTTACTGCACAGCAAAGGAGACCATCAACAAAATGAAAAGTCAACGTACTGAATGGGAAGATAAATTCATAAATGATATATTAGGGGATTAATATCCAAAATATATAAAGAACTCACACACTCATCACTGAACAAATCCAATTAAAAAATGGGCCAAGGACCTGAGTAGACATTTTTCCAAAGACATATAGATGGTCAATAGACACAGGAAAAGATGTTCAATATTACTAATCATCAGAGAAATGCAAACCAAAACCCCAATGATTTATCACCTCATTCCTGTCGAATTGTTGTTTTCAAAAGATAAGGAATAACTTTGGTGCAGCCATTATAGAAAACAGTATGGAGGTTTCTCAAAATACTAGAAGTAGAAATACCATATGGCCCAGTAATTCCAGTATGAGTATTTACCTGAAGGAAAAAAATTACTAATTCAAAAAATATATGTACCTCCATGTTTACGTGTTTATTGCCACATTATTTACAATAGCAAAGAAAATGGAAGCAACCTAAATGTCTATTGATAGGTGAATGGATAAAGAAGATGTGGTACATATATGCAATAGAATAATGGAATATTACTCAGCTACAAGAAAGAATGAAATTTTGCCATTGTGGTAACATGGATGGATCCTAAGGGTATTATTCTAAGTGAAATAAATCAGAAAGAGAAAGACAAATAGCATATGATTTCAATTATATGTGGAAATTAAAAGATAAAATAAATGAATAGAAAAAACAGAAGTAGACTCATAAATACAGAGAACAAACTGGTGATTCCATAGAGGAGGGGGTTGGGAATAATGGGCAAAAAAAGTGAATGGGATAAAGAGGTAAAAACTTCCAGTTATAAAATAATTAAGTCTTGAGTATGGAAGTACAACATAGGAACATTGAATCAATGTAAAATCTTTTATGGTGACAGATATTAAGTAACTACACTATTCATGGTGAGCATCTTGTACTGTGCATAATTGTTGAATCACTGTGTTGTACACTGAAACTGATATAATATTGTACATCAACTATACTTCAATAATAAATACATAGAATAAATGCAGTAGAATGTAGTACCACTGGGATGAAGTGAACTGCATCCTGAGAAAGGGTTGGAGACAAGAACTTTGCATCAAGCAAGCTTGAAGTATATCAAAGCCTTGTAAGCTACTCTTGAATGTATATATTTAGGACTTCCTGTATGTGGACTGACTTTATAACTGAGCGTTTTTCCAAATGAATGCCTATGTAGAAAATGAATTTATTAAAGAATAAATAATAAGAATCTTAAATAAAAAACCTTTTAATGGTTTCTTATCATTCATAGGCTAATGTCCATAAGTCCTTTGCATAACATGTAAGATGATCCATGATCTGATTCTTGCCTGCCTCTTCAGTTTTACTTCTGTTACATTCCCTCAATGTTTCTTGTACTTACTGGTCCCGTTATCTCTTCTACCAGAAATGTCTTTTGACTGTTTTTACTTGTCAAATGTCTGTTTATTTTTCAGGACTTACTCAAAACATACCTTTTCTATGAAAAATTTCTCAATTTTTCTTTTCTTTTAACATGTATTTTGAACATTTCTGTATCATAGAACCTACCATGCTGATTCGGAATGACTTGTTATGTCCGCCTTATCTCCTAGGCTGTAAGTCCATTCAGTGTAGGATCCTTGCCTTATTAAAGTTTATATCCCTAGCATTTAGTGTTAAACGTTACTCATCAAATATTTTGCTTATTAAGTACGTGCCCACTATATGCCAGATGGATAGTTTTTGTTAAATACCTTTTTGGTGGGACAAATGAAAGATTGTGAGTAGGCAAAGTAATGACATATAGACAAGGTAAATTTTACATGGTTCATATTTCTGTGAGGATTAAATATTTATTAAATATTTATAATATGCTGGTTGAGAATGGAGAGTACTTATATATTAAAGTCTTGGCTCCTGATTTCCAGGAGTTTATCATCTAGTATAGAAAGCATTTTTTAAAAATAAGTTTTGAAATTATTTAGCTGAATAATATTCCATTGTATATATGTACCACATCTTCTTTATTCATCTATTGATGGACACTTAAGTTGCTTCCATATCTTGGCTATTGTAAATTATGTGGCAATAAACATAGGGGTGTATATATCTTTTTGAATGAAATCCTGCCATGTGTGACAACATGGATAGACCTAGAGGGTATTAATGCTAAGTGAAATAAACCAGGCAGAAGAAGATGAATACCATATGATTCCACTTATTTGTGGAATATAAAAACAAAACAAAGCAAAATTAATAAAGTAGCAGTAGACTTATAGACACTGAGAAGTATCTGGTGGTTACCATGGGGGAGGGGCTGGGTGGGGAGGTGAGGGGGATAAAGGGGCACAAGAACTCTCAATCATGATATAAGTTGGTCACAGGGATTGTAGTACTGCATGGAGAATATAGCCAATGGTTCTGTAACCTCTTTTTATGTTGACAGGTAGTAACTGCACTAGTTGGGGTGAGGATTTAATATTGTGGGTTACTGTGTTGTATATTTGAAACCAATATAAAATTATGTATCAACTATACCTCAACAAAAAATATTTATAATAGAGTGCAAAAATAAATAACAGAATTTGAAGGGATTTCTAGATTATTTGGCAGGACCTCTGAAATATCACATTCACTCCTAGTGTCAAAATTAATAATAATTAACATGATGCAGATAACTGTTGTTTGAACTATTGATCTACTGAGAAGTTACACTTGGGGAAACATCTTACATGGTTAACCTAAAAATTGTAATGATGCTTTTTTCACATACTCATTTCTATTTAAGTAAAGAAATGCAAACATTTAGGAAAGGAAGCTTTACTACTCAGAAAAGGTTTATAATATACATTAGTGTTTTATTTCAGTTTCTAAAACATTTTCAAACATGGTCTCATTTAATTATTGTCACACAAACCCTAAGACGTAAGTGTCATTAATTATTATTTTACAGATGAGAAATGAGAGTGAGTAGTAATCAATTGTTGAAGGAATGCACCAAAGGTTTCTTTTTAATTTCATACATTTTATTCAGGATCTGTTTTGTGCCAAGCATCATGTTAAATATTTGAGATACGTTATCTCATTTTGTTATCACAATAATCTAATGAGGGGGTCATAATTATGCCTGCCTTAGCAAAAAGGAAACTGAGGTGTAGAGAAGTTAAATAATTTTTCAAAGGTAAAATAGCTGGGAAGTTCTGGAGCTATGATTTCAGTTTAGGTATTCCGACCCCCAAGTTCGCTCCTTTACTATCTAGTTTTTTCAGATACAGTGGTCTCACTCTCTCTGTCCTTTCCTGCGTGTCCTCCCTCCCTCCTTCTCTCCCTCTCTCCCTTCCTTCCTCCCTTCCTCCTGTTCTTCCTTCCTTTCCCCATTTCTCTCTCTCTCCCTCTTTTATCCCCAGTGTGAGTTGGGCAATGAGGAGAGCTTCACGGAAGAAAGCAGGTCAGAAGCCTGACTCCCACCAGTTCTGTCCGTGTTCTTTACTCAGGCTGAAGTGGTGGTTCTGTGGGGACTTAAAGACAAATACACTTCTCTCAAAATCTGCGCATATGTTTCTCTTTCTCCTTTCCTTTCTTGTGCTTTTCTCTACAACTATTACTACATCATAGTAACACATAGTAAAAACAATAAGAAATGCTAGTATTTTTTGGTATTTATTGGTGACTTAGTATATTCAAGGCATTGCACAGAATTTGAAAATGGATAACCTCACTAAATACTTTCAAGAACATTATGAAGTAGCTACTATTATTTTCCTCATATAACACATGAGGAAAGTAGGCCCACAGTGATACACGAGTAGTCACTTGCTTATGGTCACTTAGAGAGTAGAGTCAAGATTTGGAACTGGGTTTTTGCTGCAACCTGGGCTTTTTACCACCATTCTTTATTGCCTTTATTTCATAAATACTTGTTAAATAAAATAAATAGTCTTTATATCATTTATTCTGTTCTTCATTGATAATTTACATATTGCCTACTACCAATCAGCATATGCCAGTGGAATGACAAGTATATATTTTATAATATGAAAAGACTCTGCATTGAACAAATTTACACTGTAGAAAATTTAAAAATAATTACCTTGTGATATGGTTGGAGCCATACTAGAGCTGTATCCCTGGTGATTTTACCCAGGGTCTAACATGCAGCCAAGAGTGCTTCCTGCGGTATAGCCTGTCTCAAATTTCTATCCAATCAAATGATGATTATATAATGTGTAACACACATAAGGTCGTAACAGTGGGGCCTTGTACTACAAGCATGTATCAGAGATATTGAGGGATCAGTTCTAGACCACCACAATAAAGCAAATATCACAATAAAGTGAGTCAAATTAGTTATTTTTGTTTCCCAGTGCATTTAAAGCTATATTTACATTGTATTGTAGTCTGTTAATGTTCAATAGCAATATGTCTAAACAAAGTGTATAATTTAATTAAAAATGTACATTTATCGATTAAGTTCACCATCTTATATGGGCATGTTTCATTCATGGTGCTCCCAAATAATTACAATAGTAACATCAAAGTCAGTGATTACAGATCGCCATGACAAATATAATAATGATGAAAAAGTTTGAAATATTGCAAAAATTACCATTATATGACACAAAGACATGAAGTGAGCAAATGCTCTTGCAGAAATGGTGCCGCCAGACTTTATTGAAGGGTTGTCTCAAACCTTCAGTTTGTAAAAAATAGTATTTGCAAAGCACATTAGACAGCAAAGTACAGTAAAATGAGGTCTGCTTGTAATTGCCACTAAACTTAATAGACTAACATCAAGTGTTATATTAGCAGACTTTGAGGATTTATAAAAAAAAATTAAATTGAAATATACTTAATTTTCTGCTGTGTAAATTAATTTTAGTGAAATTACATTATGAAATTTGGGCATTATAATGCATTTTTTAGAAATGGATATAGATATTTGGATAAAGCATCCTTAAGTAACTGATGTATGTTTATATTACATGAAGTTTTAATATTACAAATATAGATCTTCTAAATTTACCACTGTTTTCAATAAAAATTCTCCATCTATACAGATTTAGCATTTCTGGTATCCTAGCCCACTGTTGAAAAAAGCTTGAAAGAGAGGAATACTTTTTTTTGTTTTTTTGTTTGGTTTTGTTTTATATTTTTATTAAGGTATCATTGATACACACTCTTATGAAGGTTTCACAAGGAAAACAATGTGGTTACTACATGCACCCTTATTATCAAGTCTCTCCCCCGTACCGCATTGCAGTCACTGTCCATCGGTATAGTAAGATGCCAGAGTCCCTACTTGTCTTTTCTGTGCTACAATGTCAAGGAATACTGTTTTAAATAGAGGAAATAGATATATTGAGGAAAACCTCTGAAAAAATGATATTGGTTAAGTTAGATATCAAATGCTAAGTAGAAACTTATGAGGAATCTGAGTAGAAATTTAGAACATTTAGAGGCAAAGGTAGCAGCCTGTTCATGGATAGGGGCATAAATGAATGTGGCTTAGAAAACAGGTTTGTCAAGAACTTGATATGAAAATCTGCAAAATATTGCAATCTAACATGGAACTCAATTGTGACAATGCTTAATTTGTACTTGCACTGATTTATGTTTATATTACATGAAGTTTTAATACTACAGATACAGATCTTCCAAATTTACCACTGTTTTCACTAAAAATTATAGTTATACCTCAATTAAAAAGAATGCTCTTATTTTTAATGAAAGCATTCTTTTTTCCACAAGGGTGAATTAGATAAGTACAAATGATTTTACACAGAGAAAAGATTTGTTTACTGTAACTCCGGGGCAGGAGTGGGGGGAATAAGTTCTCAGACCAGCGCAAGTTACCTTTGAAGCCAAAATAAATCAGGGAGAAATAAAGTGGGAGAAACCCATTTATTGGTTGCAAGCAGTTGTCCGCTTCTGCTCACCCATGTCTCTTGTGACCCGGCTGCAAAAAGGGGGCCCCATGCCTCCCCTCTACAATCACCTACTGATACGGAGATGGGCTACTTCTCTCCACCCCTTGGGAAGACTTATTGATATAAAGATGCACTAAGGCCAGGTGAGAGATTCTGGAAATATTTCAATTTTACCCACATTAATTTACAAGTATTGATGTAGTACCACTTTGGAAATATTTAACTCTGGATTGGATAAGACTACCATACTATTTCTGACCTTTTAATTATTAGAAAAGCCCATATAAAGTAGAAGACAAGTGATGAACATCTATCAATAATTCGTTTCCAATTACTTCTTTAATTGTACATACACACACACAAACATATTTGCTTGAAGCTCACTATATGTGGTTATTTTTATATTTTAGATTGCTCTCCCCAGTCTTTATCAGACACTCTGCTTTGAAGATGCAGCTCTGTGGCGTACTTATTATCATAATTCAAAGTGTGAACAAGAGTTCCCATCTATTCTTGCCAAGAAAGTTTCTTTATTTCAACAGGTAGGTTATCCAAAAAATAGAAGTATTTAATGCTTTTCTTCAGAATGCATTTAAATGACAGCTCTACTTTTGTCATATAACTATAATGTGTCATATGTGGAGAAGTTTTCTGCTTTTGCCGTCTTATCTAGACAGTAAAATCAGTGGCACAACTTCTCAAAAGGATGTCTCCCACTATAGCTTTTCTTTTCTTCCTCTGCTTCCAACCTAAGGGTGATTATGCAATAGAGAAAATGTCTTTTAGAAAAAAAAAATTAAAGTATAGATTGTTCACTCATTTCTCAGGATTCTCTCTAAGGAAAAGACCTCTTGGTGAGGAAGAGGAGGATTTTTCCCCATTCTATTTTAAAATAGGCTGGGTGGAACCAGCCTGAGGTGGCTGAAGGCTTAGAGTGGGAGAGCTCTGTAGTACTTGATGCTCCAGGAAATGACCCTTCCATTCATCTGTGGGCTATGGTTCTGTCCCCTTTGTATTCCTTGGTGAATTCTAACTTGAGTGTGTTTTNNAAAAAAAAAACGAAGAAATACTTCTTTTGAAAACAAACATCCTGGAATAGATGTATATGATTCAGCACAAAAATAGTGATTTGAAAATTTTAGGCAATATTTTTGAGCCTCTGTTCTGTTGTCATCACAAGTGCCTTAACTACATGCCCTTGTTTACATCCTGCCATTTGGCCCTTTATTAATCTTGAAGACATAGCTAATTATATGACTATTACATGCTGATGTATACTTTTGTGATAAGTTTGAGGAAATAAGTGGATTTTTAGTAATATTTTGGCTATTAAAGACCTATCTTTGTATGTACCTATTGTGACAGTTTGGAGCATAGTAAATATTTTGGAACAGTGCTAAGTGTCCACATTTTAGCAAATGGTTGTTTAGTTAACTAACATTAACTATTCTTTAGTTAAAGCTGTTGTGGGAACTTTATTATTTAAAAATATCCTGCATTTTATTTTAAGGTTCTTGTGGTACAGGCTCTCAGACCAGACAGATTGCAAAGTGCCCTGGCTCTGTTTGCATGTAAGACTCTGGGTAAGTGCAGTCCTTTTCTAGAAAGAGACCACTGACCTGAATTGTTTGTTCTTAGCTTACATTTCATTTTATGCTGACCTTAGTTTAGAAGATTATAAGGTCCTTTATTCTTCATTATATCTTATAATCTCTACCTGATTAAAAAAATAATTCTTTGTGTTGAATGTGACCATACCTAATGTTGTATTACGTTTGATGCATAATTGACATCCTGTATTTAAAGTTCAGGTGTTTGAAGTTTTAAAAATTACTTCCTCATGAAAGCACTTCAGACATGTAGACATTTGTCCTTGATTAATTTCAAAGCAGGGAATCAAATGTTTGATTTGGATAATTAAAGTAAAACATACAGATACCATAGTCTTAGAAAAAAAAACCTTCCAAAACGAGTTATTTTTGCTGTCTAAAACAAAAAATGAATTTGTGTGTCTTTCAGACCATAAAACTACAATACATTTTTTTAAGTCTTCCAGACAGTCTTATCTGAAGAATTAAGGTATCATGCATTTGGAAATAATAAACTATACTATATTTCCATTTGTGCAAAAAAATGAAAAACTAAGTTAAACAAAGACTATGAAAAGTATCTTAGTTGAAGAGTTATCCAAGAATAATGAGTCTTTACTATTCTAAACCATAGGAAGTTTTAGAATTATGTTGGAAATGAAGTCTGGCATACTTAAAATAGTACCCTGACAATATTTTCTAGAAATCCTCCATTTCTTTTTAATATTTTTCCATGTATATATATGAAGTATTGTATAGAAACTTTTTTATTAACTGTAACAAATATATTTTGATCAAGTAAGCCTATCATGTTATGTACATTTTCTTTAAATTAGAATTGCTCATATAAACAAGCTTAGCACAGTTTTATAAAACTGAAAAATATACTGGACTTTCCATGCTTATCACTGAAAAACTTCATGAATTGAATAATCACTCTTTTATTAGTTTGTAAAGCTGTTTCAGTTAGTTGTATCAGGGTATTATTTTAAGAAATTGTCATGTAATGTAAGATGATCAATTTGACTCTAGAGAACACACACTTTCATTTAAACTTGATTGTTCATAATGGTAGTAATCACAGCTAACATTTAAATGGCTCTTACTAGATGCTGGGGAAGTCTAAGTGCTGTACCTACATCATCTCTTTTAGTCCTCATAGCATGCCTATGAGGGGCTATTTTTATATCCATTTAAAGATAAGGAAATGAGATCACACAGCTATTAAATGGCAGAACTCAAACCCAGCTCCAAAGCCCTTATATTATATCCTGAAGCCATTGTACGACAATGCCACTATATTACATCTTATATCCTGAAGGAGTCAAATTTATTCTATTTGGAGAGAGATTGTTGGCAGGTGCTAACAAAAAGGTTTCCTTAAACCTTTAGTAAAGCTATTTCATGTACACATCCATCCCTACTCTAACCTAGTATTCTAGTTTCCTAAAGCTTCTCTAAGTACCACAAACTGGGTGACTTCCATCAAGAGAAATTTGGTGTCTCTTAGTTCTAGAGGCCAGAAGTCCACAGTCAAGGTGTCAGCAACACGATTTTCCTTCTGAGACCTGTCGGAGGGCCCTGCCTTACCTCTATCTAAATTCTAGTAGTTTGCTGACAATCTTTGGTCTTCCATGGTTTGCAGCTGCATAACTGGAATCTCTGCCTTCATCATCACATGACATCTTCCCTGTGTGTCTCTGTCTTCCCATAGCTGTCTTATAAGGGCACCAGTTATATTGGATTAGTGGCCTATCCTACTCCAGTATGACCTCTTCTGAAATTAACTAGTTATTTCTTCCACATAAGGTCACATTCAGAGGTATTGGGGTTGGGACTTCAACATATAGTTTTGGGGTGAACACAATTCAACCCATAATACCTACCAATCTTAATTTTTCACATAATGGTTATCTTCTGCTCTTCTGCTTCACCCTCTCCACCAGAACATGCATATGTACACACAAATACACACTGTGAGGCTCCCCTCAGACTGTTATTTGCTTGGTTGGTGCTGGGCATATGGAAATGGGTCTGCACATACTCTGTGCTTTCTTTTCCTTAAACATGCAGAAGAAATGTCCCTGTTTATGTGACTGATCATTTTTACTTGTGTCTGGCAGATTGTTTGTTCACTTAACTCTTGGTTGCATGTGAGAGATACTCATCTTTATCTTATTTAAATGAAAAAGGGGGAAGGAAGACGTAGGGCCAGCTGGTTTCATGGATGCAAACATCAGGAAATTCCTTCTTGTTTCAGCCTTTCATTTTTTCTCTCTCTCTCCCCCACCCTCTTTGCTTTTTCTTTATCCTTTGTGTCTTTATCTCTCTCTGTCTCTCATGGTGTTTTTAGACTGTTATTTAATTCCTACCTATGTGTTGCCCTTAGTCTCAGGGTACTTATATATTCTGGGGGATAAGGTTGCTAGCCTCCTGGGATATAATTTAAAGCTTGAGATGAAAGAGAACTTTCCCTCCCAACTATGCCTTCAGAAATCCTAGGGCAGGATGGATTTCCTCAGACTAGGTAACATGATTACTTCTGCAGCTGACCCCACCAGAATGAATGGCAATTTCCCCAAAAGAAGTCATAGTTAGGGGACGGGCTATTAACAGAAATGGGGAAAGAACTGCTTATATAAAACAATAGGTATCCATTATTATCTCCTTACACATAATCTCTTTTAACTAATTTCATATTTAAATAGTTTGATAATGGATCACTACTTTGTAAACCAAATTTTGAGATTAGGATTTACAAATATCTAACCTTTAACTATGAAGAATGAAGTAGTTAGAGATATTAATGTCCATGTTAAAAAATGCTTATGAGCATACTTGATCTTGTAACTGAAACATTTAACATATTGCCAGATGTAGATACACATGGTGAGTAATAACTATACTAGATGTTATTCCTCACTAACAAGTCTACCAACTACCTGTGTTTGTATTTGTATTCATTCTGCTTTTCCTCATGTTACTTTGCATGAATATTCTTGCTCCAATTAAAGGTGAACCTACTTTATTATTCATTCTTTCTTTATTCATTCCATTATTCCCTGCCATTATCTCCTTCTGCTTCCTCAACTTCACCTTCTTTACTGGATCATTTCTGTCAACATACAAACATATTTTAGTATCACTTATCCTAAAAATGCCTCCCATGACCATATTCCCCTCTCTAGCTGTCATCCCATTTCTTTACACTCTTCTACAGCAAAACATCTTGAAAATGTCTGTAGTTGGAGAATGTAGTAACTCATTTCCTCAAGTCTTATTCAGCTCACCCTATTTGTGCTTGATTTCTAAGGTTCCACAAGAGTGTTCTTGTTATGTTTAATAATGTCTTCTTCCCTATATCCAACAGCACCTTCTGTGCTTCTGTCTTACTTGATCTGTCAACAAGTCATCCATTTTTCCTTGTCACTTTCTTCTCTTGATCATTGCATTTCTTCTTTCATTCCTTAACCACTTTAGGCTGTTCCTTTTCCCCTTTCTTTATTGGCTGCTTCTCTGCATGACTTCTAAATGTTGGAGTGTTCTTCCAGTGCAGTCCTGCCCCGGTTTCCCTTCTTTCATTATTACATATTCTGTCTCTGTGTAACCTGCCCCAGTCCCTGGCTTTAAATGTCATCTGTAAGTTACCGACTCTTTTATCTCTTATTTCTAGCCCTAACCTCTTCCTGTAATTCTAGACTCATATCCAAAAATTTAATTGATGTTTTCATACAAATGTTACATCACAAATCTAATATTACTACTACCAAACTGTTGATTTATCTATACTAACATCTACTCAGTTGCTCAAACCAAAATCCATAAGTAATATTTTCTCTCTTTTCCTCACCTTCTAACCAAATCTACCAGCAAGTCCTTTTGGCTTCAACTCTGATTTACTCTTAGATCATTTACTTTGTGTTATTTCTACCCACCTAATGTAAACTATTGTCATCTCACCTCAGTTACTGCCATAGCTTTGGCTCTGTCTTCAGAATATATTCAGAACCCAATTACTTCCTACACCTCCACACCAACTACTACTTTGTTTGATCCACTGTCATATGAGCAAGGTCATTGTCATTCAGGCTTCCTTCCTTCCCCACCTCAGGTACATTCTCAGCGTAGCCAGAGGGCCTTCTGAATCATGTTAGATCTCATCACTCCTCTGTTCAGACTCCTCTGAGGGCATCTCATCTTGCTGAGTCCGTATGCGGGCCTTACAGGGCCACCTCCTCTGGTCCGTTGCTCCTCTCAGACCTCATCTCCTGCTACTCTTACCTTTGCTCAATCCTTTCCAACCATGATGGCCCTTTTTTCCTCTTCTTCTCATGCTCCAGGTATATTTCTGGTCTCAAGACCTCTGTACTTGCTCTTCCTTCTTCTAAGAAAATTCCTGCCTCCAGTTATCTCCCTCATCTCTGGGCTTAAGTGTCATGTTTTCAGGGATGATTTACCCAAATGTTCTATACAAAATAAGGTTCTCTTCCCTCAGCTCTCCATACCCTTCTTTACCTTGTTCATTTTCCTCTGTGACTGTTATTGCCATCTGACATACTATTATGAATTTGCTATTGATTTTTCTCTCCCAACTAGAATATAAGACACATGGAACCACAAATTTGCTTTATTCATGGTTGTGCCCCAGTGCCTTAAACAGCTTCTGGAATGTAGAGGCACTATAAGTGTTTATTAAATCAATGATTACCTTCCTAATTAGCCTCTCTACTTAGGTTCTTGCTTCAATTCCAATCCATTCTCTCGAGAAAGCTGTGTAATCTTTTAAAAGCTGAAACCAAATCTTCTCTCCTTTTTTCATAAAACCTCCAAAATCTTCTTAACTCATTTAGAATAAATCCATATTCCTTATATAAATTCACAAGGCCCCACACAGCCTGGCCCCTGCTCACCTCTCTAACCTCATCCTGTACCCCTCACTTCCGTGCTGTGTGTTAGTGGGCAAAACAGCCTAGGACATTTGCCGTGTTTGCTCG